TTATATATTTCGGTGCTCCTGTTGGGTACACAGATGTTTACTATAGTTATGTCCTCTTGTTGGATTGATCCCTTTATTATTATGTAATGTCCTTCTTTCTCTCATTATTTATAGTCCTTGTTTTAAAGCCTATTTTGTCTGATATAAATATTGCTACTCCAGCTTTTTTCTCATTTCCATTTGCATGAAATATATTTTTTCATCCATTTGCGTTCCATCTATGTGTGTCTTTCAATCTGAGGTGGATCTCTTGGAGACAACATATGCATGAGTCTTGTTTTCTTATTCATTCAGGTACTCTGTCTTTTGATTTAGACATTTAATACATTTACATTTAAAGTGATTTTTTTTTAATTGGGGGAGTGGAACAGTGTTGGGGAGTAGGGGAGGGGACCAGCCAAGTTGTTGTTCTTCAGTCTTAACTGTGGAGGGCGCCAGTCGCTGTCTGGCTGATCATCAGCAGCTCATGGCCTCTAAACTCAAGGTGCTGTGTTACAATCTTAGTTGCAGGTGGGCGTAGCCACCATCCCATGCGGGAGTTGAACCAGCAGCCTTGTTGTTAAGAGTGTACGCTCTATCCACTGAGCCATCCAGGCGGCAGCTCAGTTCAAGATGCCAAGTTCAGTCTTAGTTGCGGGTGGGCATAGCCCACCATCAAACAGGCAGTCTTGTTGTTAGGAGCATGTGGTCTTACCACCTGAGCCATCCTGCCACATGTTGGCAGCTCAGCGGCAACTCAGCTTGGGCGCAGCATCACTGGCCCATGTGGGAATTCAACCAGCAGCCCTGTTGCTCAGAGCTTGCATTCTTAAGCTAACTCTTAACCAACTGAGTCACTCAGCCAACTGTAAAGTGATTATTGATAGGTACATAGTTATTGCCATTTTATTACTCATATTTTTGATATTCGCTTGTTGTTTTTTCTTCTGCTTAAAGAAGTCTTTTTAATATTTCTTGTAATACTGGCTTGGTGGTAATGAATTCCTTTAGCTTTGTCTGTCTGAGAAGCTCTTTATCTCTCCTTTAATTTTAAATGATACTGCTGGGTAGTCTTGGGTGTAGGCCCTTGTTTTTCATCCCTTTGAATATTTTCTGCCACTCCCTTCTGCCCTTCAAAGTTTCTGTTGAGAAATCCTCTGATAGTCTTATGGGAGCTCCCTTTTAAGTAACTAGTTGTCTTTCTCTTGCTGCTTTTAGGATTCTCTCTTTGTCTTTAACCTTTGCCATTCTAATTGTCATGTGTCGCGGTGTGTGTCTGTTTGGGTTCATCTTGTTTGAGACACTCTGTACTACCTGGGCTTATATGTCTATTTTTTCCTCTAGTTTAGGGAAGTTTCCAGTCATTATGTCTTCAAAGAGGTTCTCGATCCCTTGCTCCCTCTCTTTTCTGATACCCCTATGATGCAAATATTAAACTTGGTGTTGTGCCAGAGGTCCCTTAAACTATCCTTTTTTTTTTTTTAATTGTCTTTTCTTTTTGTTGTTCTGCTTGGGTGTTTTCTGCCACCTTGTCTTCTAAATTGCTGATTTAGTCCTCTTCATCTAATCTGTTGGCTCCTTCTAGTGTATTCTTCAATTTAGTTATTGTATTCTTTATTTCTGACTGGTTTTTTTTTATGGTTTCTATGCCCTTCTTTATGCTTGCTATCTCTTTGCTGAAACTCTCACTAAGTTCCTTAAGCATTCTTATAACCAGTGTTTTAAACTCTGTCTCTGTAGGTTGGTTACCTCCATTTCATTTAGTTCTGTTTCTGTAGGTTTCTCGTATTCTTTTATTTGGGACATGTTTCTTTGTTTCCTCATTCTGGCTGCCTCTGTGTGTTTGCTTCTATGTAATAGGTGGATCTCCCAAGTCACTTAGTCTTTGTTGGGTGGCCTTATGTAGTATGTGTCCTGTGTGATCCAATGGTGCAGTCTCCCTACTCTCCTGTGCATGTGTTCCAGTAGTGTCCCTTAAGTGTACTGTGGGTATTCTACTGTTGTAGTTGAGCCTTGATTGTTTTTGGCACATCAGTTCCCCAGCTAACTGCCTGTGAGGATTGGCTATGCCCACAGTGTATGAGCTGCTGTTTCAGGACTCACTCCTCAGAGGGGGGTTTGCTCCTGTGGGCTCTTGTGCCTGTTTTTAATTGTGGGAAAAGATACATAACATAAAATTTACCATCTTAACCATTTTTAAATGTACAGTTCGGTGACATTAAGTACATTCACATTGTTATGCAGCCATCACCACCAATCTCCAGAACTCTTTTCATCTTGCAGAACTGAAACTCTGTCCCCATTAAACGGTAACGCCCTGTTCCTTCTTTTCCCCCTTTGGTTTTTAAATTTACATCATATAACCTGGAGCTGGGCTGCCATTAGTTGCTGTGATGGTGTAGGCTGCAGTGGGGCTGGCCGGCAGCTGGCGTGAGCTTTCTTGAGCTGCCATGAGCCACCGTGAGCAGCTGTCCAATAGCCGGCAAGCAACTGCCTCACCTGGGAAGAGTGCAATGATAATACCAAATGGGCCAGTGAAGCGATGTCCTCCACAACTAGACTGAAGAACAAAAGGACAGCAACTTGTCTGTTCCCTCCCCCAATTCCCCAATAAAATCTTTAAAAAAAGAAAAGGAATGTTTCTGTGCCTTTGTAAGACTTCTATTAAAAATATTTTCTATTTTGGTGTTGATATCTTCATGTGAATAAAACTTGGTCTTAGAATTTACTTTTAGGAAAAAAGTTTGTTCCTGCTGACTTGCTGGATTTATTATTAGGTAAAACATGCTGTGTAGTTATATTCCCTTTGTACCTTGGCTTCCAAGAAGCATAATAACTATCTTTAGCTTGGGCTTTCTGGTATAATTTTATACCTCCATTTTATTTTTATGTTTTTAAGCCCCCTTAGAGCCTTTTTTGAAGCAAATGAGATGTAATAATAAGAGAAATAAACATTTAAAAAATAGTTTTTAGTTTATATCAGAAAGAATTTTTTGCATGTTGTCCATTTGAATGTGAACATTTTATGACCTAAATCCACAACTTATTTGTCAGCTGAAATGGTTTGAAATTTACCTACATCACTTTTTTTTCAACAAAGTTTAGTTACATTTAAAATAGGCAGAAAATCTTAGTGGTTATGGGTAAGTTTGGGAGATGTTATGTTCAAAATAAAACCTTTTAAAGGAAATGATATTTATTACATCCTTATTGTGTGACACATTTTTCTTAATCCTCATAAGAGCTCTAGTTTATTATTTAATAGATTTATTATCCCCATTTGTCAGATGTGAAAACTTAAGCTAATACATGTAAAATGACTTTCCCAAGGACTCAGCTAGTAAAAGTAGAATTGGAATTTGAATCCTTTTTTTTTCCTAAGAGAAATTATAATAGAAACTTTATTACTGGTGCATCTATATTGGCAGGAAAATTTTGTAGTATAAACATGATCTGTTACAGCCTTTAGTCTATAATTGCTTGGCAATATTTATCCACTTCTGGGAAAATATTGTAAAGAAATAACTTTTCGTAGGGGATACAGTAATGCCGTTCCTGAAGACTAGAATTTATACATAGACTGTACTGTGAGATTTAAATTTAAAAATCGACTTATACTAGATCAAAGCAGAAATATACAGAACATCTCTTAAGATAAATAGCAGTTCCAAGTCGATAAGTTTTGACCTTTTTAAAAAAATGTTGGTGAAATTCAACAAATGATTTTTTTTTGACAATATGAGAGTAAATATTACTAGTCAGGAGACAGTGGTTTTACTTTTATTACTCCTGAATAGTTTCAAACACCTCAGAAGAAGATTTCTTCTTACATCTTTATTTTTCTTATTTATGCCATTTCTCCCTTTTCCTTCTCCCTCAACAGATATGATTTGTATGTTGCAGAGGCTTCATAAAGATTGAGGAGAGTCGGCCAAGTGGATCAGTTGGTTAAGAGCTCGCTCAAGAGTGTGAGCTCTGAGCAACAGGGTCGCCGGTTTGATTCCCAGCCTGAGCTGGGAGGTGGCAGGATGGCTCAACTAAAAACAAAAAAAAAAGATTGAGGAGGTGGGGAAAGAAAGATGAAGGCAGTTTTAAATTCATTATAGCTGTACTGCTATTTTACTGTTTTGTTTTTATGCATTTCTCATTGAAAGGATATATATATGATATAGGGGTTGAGTGTAGGTTCTGGTTTTAGGTAGCTTATGTTCACATCTCAGTTTTTTCACTTAAACAAGTTACATAAATTCTCTGTATTTTAGTTTCATTATTCATGAAATAAAGTCTATAATAGTGTGAAAGTCATGGATTTATTTTAAGAAAAAATTAAGGCATGTAAGATATGCCTGTCATGTAAGAATCATTCAATAAATGAGATTGATTAGGGCAGTAGTTCACAATATGGCTATGCATTACAATCATTCAAGGAAATTTTTTAAAATACAAATGCTCCCACCCCTGCTATTCTGGTGAATAAACCTTTGGTAGGGCCTGGGGATCAGATTTTTCTCCCATTACTTGTTTGCTTTTTTGTTTATTTTTAAATGCCATGAGATTTTTGTCTCATGTTTATTGCCATATCCCCAACTTTTAGAACAGTACCTGGCAAAAAATAGGCACTCAGTAAATATAAATGAATAAAAATGAATTATCTTTGGTTCCTCAGTGATTCATCCCCTCTCTTTTTGTAAAAATAAATTTAATTTTTAAATTTACAAATATAAAATTTTTTTTGGTGAACAGTTCTGTTTGTTACTTATGGTCAAACCCTCTTCTCACCCTCAATCCCTGACAACCACTGATCAAAGTCTTCATCTTTATAGTTTTGGGTTTTCCAGAATGTCAAATAAATTGAATCATGTGCTGTATCGCCTGTTGAGTCTGGCTTTTGTCACTTAGTATGGTACATTTGAGGCTCATTTGCGTTAAGTGTCTCAGTATTTCTTTTTTGCTGAGTAGTAGTCCATCGAATCTGGAACAGATATATTAACAATCTTGCTGGTTTTTTTCTTCATTTTTAGCTTTCCAGAGTATTGGATCTTCCACCAGAAAACTTGATCAAGTCAATATCTGCAATTCCAATTTCGAGAAAACAGTTAAGTATAATATATTTGTAACAATCTAAACTGTTACTTTGTCAATATACCAAAAAAAATTGTCACTATTCAATTTACATAGTAATCCTTGAAATTAATCATAAGATATAATTTAACCTATTATTCTCATTGACATAAATAATAAAATTTAAATCTGTATTGTATACATACTCTGACATGGCAGATTATATTAGTATGCTCATGTTGTTTTAATATTTGTTTATGCAAATAACTACAGTTATGGCAGTTTTTAAAAAGAATTAGGCTTGAGGTTCAAATTTAATTCTGTAATAGCAAATAAAACAACTAAGATTGTGGTTAGGATCTCAGGGTTTTTGAAGGACTCTTAGATTATACACCTACCTGATGTTTGAATAACACTGTACAATATTTACCTGCTAGGTGTTTTTGTGGTTTATGTTTTGGTTTTTTTGTTTGTTTCTATCAGTGATAGAGAACTATTGGTTAGGACAACATACAACCAATAGTTGCTTTCTTGAATGCAGGGAAATATTTATCTCTTGTGAGTTTGGGTATTCTAAATGATACTTGTTTACCATTTGGCTAGAAAACTTCAATATTTGGATAAAATAACCCACTCAGTCAATTAATAACAAGCAGTTAGCTACATAGTAGGCATTTAAGCCCTAAGCTTTAGAAAGATATAAAGATATAATCATCAGTACCATTATATCCTTATGTTTTGCCCCCTTAACTTTGTCAGGATTTTAAGATAGAGTAAGATATTCTTTATCCCAGAATAGGACACAAAGATGTGTGGAAAAGGAAGAGAAAAGCTACATATGGCCTTGTAAAAGAGACCATCTTTAAAATGGCCTGTTGCAAATTCCTCCCTATTGAGTTCCAAGAACAGGGGCAACCACTGACCAAGGGGACCTCATAATTACATGTGCATTGATGTAAAGTTTGAAACCAGTTACCTATTTTCTTAAAATCTGTAAATGACATTCTGCATAATAATGGGAATGTCCCCATTTTTATTTCATTTTTCAAATCCCATTAAACTGTCTTGGCCCATCTTTTGAATAGGATTTCCTCTTGCTTGGAGCTCCTTTGGGCAGCTCCACTTTAGCAATCTGAAATACTAAGACTTTGGCTTATAGAAAATAAATATTGGGGAAGACCTCAAAATTCTTCTAGGCTACAAGTCTAAAATTCTACATATTAAATTTCTTTAAAACAAAGGGAATCTCCAATGCTTTGCCATAATAAACCCAGGTGTCCTTTATAATACTGAAACCAAACCTAACTGTTTTATATTTCTAATTTTATTCTAAAATGCTATTAAGTGCCAAGAGATTAAGAAATATTATTTTTGCTAATATAGGTTATTTAATATGATATAAATTATGTGCTCAGTTCTCCTAATTCAATTATATTTTCAACTACAGTGGAATTCCTATTTAATACTGATCATAATAGAGAGCATTAATAATTTTGTTGCAAATCAGGAGTTCTTAAGTCTAGGGATTTCACTCTAACACCACAACAACTCCTCAGAAATAGTGGGAAAGTAGCTATTGCTTTTTAAACTTTTTAAAAATTTAAACAATAGTAAAGTAGAGGGAATAGTTCAATGACCCCTACGTGCCCATCACTTACTAGCATTGGCACACGGCCAGTTTTTGTTTCAGCTATACCCCTACCATTCTCCTTTATCAAAATGGATTATTTTGACAGCTACTGCTTTTCATAGTCTAGATGTTATGTTTCTTAAGGTTTTTCTTTTTTCTTTTTTTTTTTTTCAATTAGTTTCAGGAGTACAAAGCAACCTAATAGTTAGACATTTACATCCCTCACAAAGTGATAATCCTCCTCCCCCAAGCGACTACCCCTCTGACATCTTATATAACTGTTACAATACCACTGACTATCTTCCTTATGCTATACTCCCCCTCCCATGACTACACACACACACACACACACACACACACACACACGCTCGCACACATGCACACACATATATATTTACTTATAGTTGACGTACAATATTATTCTACTTCAGCTTCCGTTGTACAGCGCATTGGTCATACATCTACACAGTCTCTGAATTGATCACCTTGATAAGTCCAGTGCCTTTAAATTTTCTATCATAAAAGCAAAATATAATCTTAAGGAAATTCAAGAAAATACAGAAGAATAAAAAGAGAAAAACATTCCCTTTAGTTTTACTGCAGTGAGACAACTGATATTAGCAAGTTGGTGTATTTTTACATTTTCTCTTTGAATATGTCTTGCAGCCTTTAAAAAAACATAGCTATAAAACTACTGTATATATGATATTTGACCCCTTTTCCCTTGACATCATTCTTTTTTTGTAAATGTCACTTTTTTTATTTTTTTTAAGATTTTATTGGGGAATTGGGGGAGGAGAACAGTGTTGGAGAAGGGGAACAGACAAGTTGCTGTCCTTTTGTTCTTCAGTCTAGTTGTAGAGGACGTCGCTTCACTGGCCCATGTTGGTATTTTTATCATTGCGCTCTTCCTGGGCAAGGCAGTCGCTCCCCGGCCATTCGCCGGCAACTCACGAAAGTGCCCACCAGCTGCCCCACTGCAGCCTACACCATTACTGGCAACTCACGGCAGCCCAGCTCCAGGTCAAGCTGTTGTTCACCATCTTAGCTGTAGAGGGCGCAGTGTCACTGGCCCTAATCTGGGATCTGAACTGGGGCCCTGCTGCTCAGAGCTGGCGTCCCAAGCCAACTCTTAACCAGTGTGCCACTTGGCCGGCCCTGTAAATATCACTTTTAACAATGGCTAAATAATACTCTAATGCTCCCTGTTAATGGACATTTCGAATGTTTTCAGTTCTGACTTTTTACATAATTCACATTCAAGAATTACCTCTTTAAATAGACAAAGCAAAAGTTCCTTGTGAATATATAATTAAAAGTTTCCAAAAGTGAAAACTGGAAAGTAGGTCAGATCTGGTTGATCCCCCGCACTACCCTAAGTCATTTACTTCCTTTTCGGTGTTTCTTACTGGCAAATAACCCTTCACGTAATTTCAGAATTCATGTTTTAAATATTCCTAGTTTATTGTAAAGCATTATTAATAGACTAATAGGGTGACTTTTTAATTTGCCCTTCTACCACTGAACTAATCAGAAATATTTGTGATTCTATTGATACTATTGGGTTGTCGGAAAAGTCATGACGCATTTTTGCAGTGAAACACAGAGAAAAAATACGTCATGACTTTTCCGACAACCCAATAGTTTATTATTCACATCTACAATAAAATTATAGGTGCCTCCCACTCTTCATAATTTTTTTAAAAACTCTATAGAAAATCATGTGATTTATTTGTGTTTTCTAGATGTTTTGAGAACCATCTCTAGGTACATGGTCATATTAAACCTCTTACAAAGTGTCCTACCTATATGTCAAAAATCATAGTTTAATCTTTCGTATATTCAAATCTGTATAATTTCAATTAATACTGTTATTATTGATCTTATTACTTTTAATTTAATTTATTTTTTTATTTTTGAAAATCTTTGTGTTTCTGTGTTAATTCTGTTATTCTCATTTTGTTAATTTCTTCAGTTTCCCGTATTATTGGCACAAATACTTGACTAAGCTATTCGAGTCCTTTGATAAGAATAAATAAAAATAAAAATGCATTCAAACCTTGTAGAGTTTCCACAATTAAAGTTAATCTTTAGAAAATTAGATTATCACGTGTTTCTTGAAGAATAATCTTAGAAAAAAACAGAGTATAGCTTGCCAACCAAGTCTGTACATGAAGAACTACAGACACAGTAATTCTCCAGACCTCAATACTGGTACAATTTAACATTTTTATTTAACATCGGAACTAGAATTAGTATTATTTAACCAGGACTTAATTTCTCAGCAACACTGTCAAGTAAGTACTGTTATTATCCTCCTTAAACAAGGGATGTTTAAGCAACATGCCCAAGATCACACAGACACTGATCGATAGATGAACTTGGGTCTGTAGTTACAGCTCAAATGTCAGTGGATGAGTTTGGGTTTGTAAGTGTAATCCACACTAGGTTGCTGGATAATGGATGAAAGCTCAGGAAAATTTTTAATGGTCATTGTTGACTAGGTTCTTTAATGTGTTGTTAAACAGACGTCACACAGGATTTTTTAGGTATGTCTCTAAATTTCAAGAGTGATGAGAACAGTCACTTGGATCCCTCGAAAATACGTCCTTTAGTGTCAGTGGGCTAGACAGACACTCTGCTTATAGGATCTCATCTTCTGTCTGGTTTCTTATTAAATATTAGATGTTCAGTGTGGGTAATTATGTAGATGTTTGTATATCAATTAAGTTTTTTTTTACACTTTGAACTATTTCAAACCTACAGAAAAATTTATAGAGAATAACATAATGAAAAATCATGTGCCCACTTTCTGACATGTCAAGTCTTAACTTTTTCCAGAGTGGTTGCTCTAGACAGAACTATAAACCTACAATTAGGTAATGGAAGAGAAAGAATTTTGTAAGATGATAAAGGTCAAGTTCTAAATACAATGTGATGATATTTCTAATTTCTTTGCTTTGTATATTGAAAGTGTAACACCGTCTTCAGATAAAATTGGGTCAGTGTGGAGAACTCATAGTGATTAGTCTTTTTCTGTTACACCAGTAACATTGTAACAGCAGCTTTTTCCTATTTCAATGTCTGTCTTTAGAGAAGTAGCAGATTTTCAGCTTTCTGTGGATTCTCTATTGGAGAACAGCAATGACCATTCAAGACCAGACATTCAAGTTCAAGCCATGCAACTGGCAGAGAAGGTACCTTAGCATTATTATCTTTTTTTGACATTATAATAAACACATTATTTTAAAGAAAGAAAAATACTCTGCAGACTATCTCAGCCATAATAATGAATTTAACAGTGTTTCTTTGTTCAAGGCACCTTGGAAAATACAATTTAAATTCATTTTAGCCATGCACTATAAGATGAGGATGATATTTCAAATTAGTTATAAAGCATTCCTCTTGAGCTGACATTGTTCAATTTTTTGATTAACTGCTTACAGGAGGACTGAAGTGTTAATTAAATTTACAGGTTGGAGCTGGATGGACTTCTGAATTTAGGAGAAGGAGCTTAATAAATTAGAACAATGGATTGTACTTTTTAAAATGAGTTTCTGAGAAGATGAGCATTAAAATATGAGAAGAAATGATTAGCAGTAAATAGAATCATGATTGCAGAGTAGAAGTGGTTAGATGATTTAATCATCCTCTTTGTAATTTCTCTGATGGCTTTGGTATCTAAAAGAGGAATTCAGAGGATTACAGAGAATGACCAAATTTAAATTGTTAGTGTAATACCATCAGAAAAGGCAGGTGGTAGACGAAGTGGTTTTTTTTGTTTGTTTGGTTTGGTTTTGTTTTTTTTAATAAGGTTATTACATATGACACAGAAGAGGTGTCTGGATACACTGAAGAATTAGAACAATGAAAGTCACTATCATAGAAAAGATGTTTAAAGAATGAGTATCATCAAGGAGCTTTGGTAGCTTAGTAAATAGTTCTTTGATCAAAAAAGACATCCCAGGGCCGACCACATGGCATGTTGGTTAGGAGTAGGCTTGGGACGCCAGCCCTAAGCAGCAGAGCCCCGGCTCTGATCCCACATGAGGCCCAATGACACTGTGCTCTCTATAGCTAAGATGGTGAACAACAGCTCGATCTGGAGCAGGGCTGCCGAGAGTCACCGGTGACTGTGTAGGCTGCAGTGGGGCTGGCCGGCAGCAGGCGTGAGCTTTCTTGAGCTGCCATGAGCCACCATAAGCAGCTGTCCAATGGCCGGCGAGCGACAGCCTCATCCGGGAAGAGTGCAATGATAATACCAACATGGGCCAGTGGAGTCACGTCCTCCACAACTAGACTAAAGAACAAAAGAATAGCAACTTGTCTGTTCCCTTCCCCCAATTCCCCAATAAAATCTTTAAAAAAAAAAAAAAAGACATCCCAGATTTTTATCAACAAGTACACCAGGAGTAGAATCATCCTAATTACAATATTTAGTCTCAAAATAAAAACTAGTGGCTCTTCAGTAGCAACAGGTATCTCTTCAAGTTTCATGGGTATATCAGGTGCTTTGAACATCTAGTTGGTTAAAATTTAAAGGCATATTCACTGAAGACAGCATATTTAAATTATTTACATTTTATATGTTGGTGCAAGTGCTTTAACGTGGGCCCTGACAGAATCTCATGTTCTGTGGCTCTTTTGAAAGGTGGGTGAGATAAAAAAAGTTCATGCAGGTCAGGGTGAGTAGGATGGGGGTAATGTGATGCCCTCTTTCTTCCATGTTAGATGAAGAATTTAGTTGAGAAAATGAGAGGAATACAGAATAGCGTTCTAGTCAGAAAAAGAAGAAAATGTGTTTACCCAAATGGAATGATAGAATCGAAGGTACTGACTAAGGCCCAGGTCCAGATATGATGACAGAGAAATGATGCACCTGCTGCCTTTGGACGTTGAAAATTTGATAATATTAGAACTACAACTCTCAGGAGGCCTGTTTTATAACACACCCATTTTACTTGATTTGTTACCTTTTCAGCTAAAATGTGATACGGTAGTGAGTGAAATCAGCACTGGTCAAGGAACTGTAAATTTCAAAATAAACAGAGAACTATTAACAAAGGTAAGAATGGGTTATGTTTCAGCTCTTGCATCTTCACTCTCTGCTTTAGCTACTGTGGTTTCCCTCCAGTTCTTACATTTATTGTGCCTCCTTTTGCCTCAAAACCTTTGCACATTGCGATACCTCTGCCTGGAGTGTCACCCTAGGTAACTCCTGCTTATTCTTCAGATCTTGATATTTCCTGGGCAGTGCCTTTCTGACCCCTTCATTTATATGCTCTCATAGCACTATATATTTCTCCTTTGCAGAACTTACCATAGTTGCTGTTTTACATTCTTTTTATTTGATTAATGCCTGTTGCCCTTTAAACTCTAATTTCCATTAGTACTTATGGTTTCTGTTTTTCCTCACTGTTGGATCCCCAGTTCCTAGCACAGTGCCTGGCATGCAGTAGGTGTGAGATAACTATTGTTGAATGAATTAATGGACTCTGTATTGAATACAAGAAAGGTACTGCTGGTTCCTGCTCTCGGGTAGTCTATAATCTGTTCAAAGTGTAAGATTTTTACAAAACCATAAGACAGTTTCTTCTTTTAATAAAACAATAAATATTAAAACAAAAAAAAGATGATTGGTACAGTAAGCATAAGAAAGACCAAAAATGGAAAAATCAGGATGGCCTGGAGGGATTGGGGAATTTGCATAGAGGAATTGGGTCTCAGTCAACGAGACCATGGAGGACACTTAATCCTGAATAGGCAGTGGTTTGAGACCTTTTGTTGAGAGTTTCATCTCAGTTGAACTTGAAAACTTTTCATAATGCATGCTTTGGTGTTTTTTTTAAAAAAAAGAAGTACATACCAGTATTGAGTTTGTCAGGCTTAGTAAATGCTGCAGTCTTGAAATGAAAATAACTATAAAACCAAAATTTCTAATAATATAGTTTCTAACTGAAAGAGAGTTAGTATTTTGTGTTTGTCTTTAGATCTTTGAACTTGTTTCTTTTATCTTTTTTTCACTCCTACTTGAAGGTAAATTAGTTAACCAAAATCAGTCACAGGGATACGAAGGAAATTTGTTTTGAGTTCGTTAGAAAATGTCTACAACCTGCTGGACCGTAATAGCATTTCATGCCAATTTAGCAAACCAATGAGTGTAATTTACCATTTTTATGTAAGTGACTCTTTATTCCAGTTGCTAGGTCAGCTTTTATGGAAGTGGAAATGCAGCTCACCCAAAATGCCCACCAAACTTTAAGCCACTTGACAGGCAGCAATATTGTACTTTTTTTTTTCCCTGAGGTGGGAAAATGTGCTATTGTAGATGGAGTTTGCCTTTACAGCCAGCTTAGCTGAAAGAGATGCGGTTTTTATTTCAAAGCAAGGCATATATTTACTTAATAATTTAAAATTTCAATGGCCATGAATTTTCTTGCTTTATTGCAATTAACAAACTGAGATTCTCTCTAGCTTAAGGATGCCTTTTTGCTCGCTTATTAAAAATATTCCCAAATCCTTCTTAATTGACAACACAGGGACAAGAGCTGTTGAGGTCCAGCTACTCTTTCTCACATGGAAATGCTATCTTCATTGCAACCTTGAGGATCAGGATCTTAGTATGATTTTTGTAAAAGGAACAAATTGCTCACAGTAGCCCTACTCAGTGTCAAAGTAAAGATATATCCCAGAGCCCTGAACACTGATATTCTGAAAGAGAAGCATTGAATGTCTTGTGTTATAAGTTGCAATTTTTTAATGATAATTCTTTTTTGCTCAAAGTCTAATTTCTTATACATCTGGCTCCATTATTTTTAGGCCTTAAACAGTGGCATTTGCGTGTCTAATAAATTTTTCAGATCACATCAAGAAAAAAAATTTCAGCCCTTCTTACGACCATTATAAAACTTTTTTTATTTTTACATTTTAAAGTTATCAAGATTGACATGTAGCCAATGATCTATATCCAAAACTCAAGCAGAGAATTATGGATTTGTCATTGCTTACACATGTACAAACTTAACCTTGCATAAAACATCTCTTCATGAATTCCAATTGAATTATTAGCACCAGGAGCATGAGGAATGATTAAATGTTAGCTTAAGTTTGGATCACTAATAGTGGCTTAAACTGTCTTCTTATAAATCCTCCTCAAAGGTAGAAGGCTAAAATATGAAATTAAAGTCAGTAGAAACTGCCAAGTCTCTGGGACTAGATAATAATTTTTTTAAAGCTAGAAGATGATATGACTAATTTGTATCATTGTGAAGAGCTATCACTTTGGTACCAAACTCGTACCTGTCAGTAGCATACAGATGATTTTCAAGAGAAACTGTAAATTCAAGTAATAGTTAATTCAGATAGGGAAAGAAAATATGAGTTTAACTAAATAGGAAAAGGGTAAACAAAACCCTGTTTTTAGGTGTGCCTTAGAAATAATGGATAGCATCATTTTTATTTCATATGTACACATGCATTTCTTGTTTTCCAAATTCAGCTTTGCATGCTGTACCAAAACTTAAGGAAAAAAGAAAAAGAGATACTAATTTAAATGTCTGTAAATTCTGCTCATTATTTTGCTAAGTCTATGTCAGTAGGCACTGGATGCATTCAAGTCATGTGTAGTGCCAGTCGGCTGAACACATGGAAAGAAAGAGTAATTAAATACTTTTCTACTATTGACCAAAGGATTGAGTAGACAAATAGGTAGTGGTAGCTTGATTAGTTAGAAGTCCGGTTGAGAGCTGTAGAGAAATAGCATCCAACCAAGAGTTAGATAAATTGACAAAAATCATCCACAGAAAAAGTGATGGTGATAGACAAACAAAAAGTACCAGCCTGTTGGAATATTTAATTTGCTAAAGCATCCCAAAAAGTGAAACCTTTGAAAGATTTAATATCTGATTATAAACTCTTTATGCACCTATATTTACATTACTGAGTACATCTTATAGTTAGACATAAGTAGTGATGAGTGGATGGGCCTCTATTGTATAATTAACAGCTTTCTCCCGTGTGCCCACTATATATATTTGCCAGGGATTATATTACTGAAATCTGAAGATAAAATGGCATAGATCATGCCCTCAAGGAGCTCATGATCGAAAAGAAAAACATATCAGTGTAATGTGTGATGGGTACGATAATGTGATGACTAATATAATGAAGGCACGTATAAAAATTCAATCCAGTGTAAAGAAAGGTACACAGAAGTCTGTCTTGAGACAAGAGGAGATAACCTTGAATTGGGATGAAGATAAATAAGAATATACCTGGGAGATACAAGGCCAGGCATTCCGGGCAGAGAGGACAGCTCAGGCCAGAGTACAGACAGTCAAGAACATGGCATTGTCTGGAAATCAGCAGATGATTGAGTATGGTTTGCACATAGGACGGTCTGGGGGAGGATAGGAAAGTATATTGTGTGAAGGGCCTACATGCTCTACATAAAGAGACTCAGTTTTTTCCTGTGTCATCATTTTCCATGGTGTGTTATATATATCACAGCTGGCACATGAGATGATTTTTGGTATTACACTAATGAAATTTATTTAATTTCATTAGTTATACAGTTGACCCTTGAACTCCATGGGTCCAATTATACATGGATTTTTTTCAGTAACTAATGTAAATGTATTTTCTCTTATGATTCTTTTAATACTTTTCTCTAGCTTACTTTATTTTAAGAATACAGTATATAATACATATAATATACAAAATATATGTTAATTGGCTGTTTATGTTATCGGTAAGGCTTCCAGTCAACAGTAGGCTATTAGTAGTTAAGTTTTGGGGGAGTCAAAAATTATATATGGATTTTCAACTGTGTGGGGTTGGCACCCCAACCATGCGTTGTTGAAGAGCCAACTGTGTATTTATTGCAATAAATAACTCTCCTCATTTGTGATTTTTTATTATGGGTATTATAATGTGCCTTTTAACAAATCAACTTACTCAAAATTAAAAAAATGTAAAGGTGATAATGCCTGTAAAGTAAAAATAAAATCACAAATTGCTGAAATCTTTGAGTGGTAGGGAATCCTTGAAGGAACATAGACTTGATTAAATACAATATATGTATATGTGTGTGTGTATATATATCATGTAAGAAGATAGGCATTGTTGTTTTGTTGTGCTGGTTGTTTTGTAGTGGTGCACCTGACAAATGATGAGGGTCTAAAACCAGGGCAGAGGGTATAACTATAATAATATTTAGGAGTTAGCATGTGCATGGCTTGGTGATGAATAGGTGACAGGTTATGGAGATTATGGAGGGAAAAGGGTAAATCTTAGGAACTCCTAAGTTTCTGACTTGGTTAGCTGGGGATAAAGTTCATGGAAATGGAAAATGCAGCAGGAAGAGAAGTATATTCTGTTTGAAGAGCTTGCGAGAGATGTCCAGTCCTGAATTGGACTTATCCGCCTGCATAAATGGTAGTTGAAATCTTAAGACTTTACACCTAGGAGAATGGTAAAGTAAGGAGCTAGAAGCAAGGAAGGAGTGCAGGGTGGGGAGTGAGGTCAGGCAGTAGAAGAGGAGCTTGCAAAGGCAAGTTAGAAGCAAAAATCAGTAGAGAGTAGTGTTCTTACAACCAAGGAGGGAGGGTAGTTGCAAGGAAAAGAGAGTAGTCATCAGCTAGGATGGTGTGTGAAAAATGGTTGCCCCGGGGGAAGGTGAGAAGGGACCAAGGTTAGGGCAGATGATCGAAACAGATTCTTGAGCCTGACCTTAATTGTTTAATTTTTTTATTTTACAAAAAGAATATTCATAAAAAGTAATATATTAAACAAAATTTAAGCATTCAGCTGGATTTGGCATTTAGAATTTTCATTTGAAGAGCGCTCTCAGTGAAATAGAGAAAAAAATCTCCAGGTAGCAGGTGGGTCAAACTGTTAATGAAAGCTTTGGAAGTGGGGCATATGAAAGAGTCCTTTATTAAATGTGCTGTTTTATTTGTGCTAGAGAAATCAATGAACCGAGAGTCATTTGGTAAAGAAAATTTTAACTTACTGCTATTACTATTTGTGGAGTCTACCATCCATTACATAAAAAGTCATGGAAAGTAAAAAAGATAGGTAGACCTTAACTTTAGAATAATCTGAATGTGAACTTTTTCTCACTGTTTACTTCTCCGTTGGCAATCTTGCTGCTCACATTCTTGAAGTAATTAACATTTATTAGTCCCCTAGTGTATGGCAGTCGCTGTTCTCTTTATTGTCTCTGGTTTTATTAGTCCTTTCTCTCTACGTCCTGTACTGTATGAGTGAACAGAATATTATTTTCTGTGTCCTTGGCAGATACATGCTGTTTTTGAACCTTAGTTTTTGCAGCTGTTCCATGGGAGGTGTTGCCCACCTCTAAGATTGTGAGGCTTAGAGATAACATAAAAGCATCCAAACTCAAACACAGCACTCTGTAGATGCTTCTTAAAATTACTGCTTTGCAGCTTCCTGCTACCTTCTCTGCCTTTACCATTAGGTGACCATATTAACCAACTCTTATGATAGTGAAATTCTTCACGTTGAAAACTACATATTTAGGACTCAAAATCAGTTTGAGAAGTACAATCAATATAAGAGTAAATAAAAGTCTACCACAGTAAATTCAAAACCCTAACCCTTAAATAAACAAATAAATACATCATCACCATTAGTAAAAACAATAAAGTATGAATTTTGTGAATTATACAGTAGTTCTGTGTTAATAACTAAAAACTAATCTGGAATGTGTTTTGGCAGTTGCTGTGTAAGTTCCTTGTTTTTTACTTATGTAGCCAATAGGCATTTGAATTATAATTTTTTGTTTTCTACCATTACTTGTGATCATTAGTATTGCAAAAGTAGCAGCAGCATGCTGTAGTTAACACATAGCTATAGAGTAAAAGAAGTTTTTGCTGTATGACTTAATAGCCATATGACCTTAGGAAAGTTACTTAACCAGTCTGTACTTCTATTTCCTCATTTGTAAAAATGATACTTACCTTTTAGGGTTATTGTGAGGGTTAAATGAGTTAATATGTAGAACATGCTTAGAACAGTGCCTGACACATAGTATGCAGTCAGTAAATATTACTAGATGCGGCTTCTGGTGTTATTCTTACTATTTGCTGTGGGACTTAGGCAGTTACTTAACCTCTCTAAACTTCAGTTTCTTCACCTGTAAAATATCTACATCATTGGTTACTGGAAAGAGGAATAGACAGGATGTAGAAAAGGGCACAGAGCCCCTATAGATATTAACTTATAATATTACTGCTCTCACTAGCATTAGTAATGTAAGGTGCTGCTGCTGACAGTGCTATGAAATTCTCAGTTCCATAAGTTAGAATGAGCAAAATAGCAACATTTAGTTCCCAGTAACAAAGTAAGAAAATTGCAATTTTTTTTTCTCTATCATTAAATCCCAGCCTTTACTTTTCAGACAGTGCTACAACAAGTAATTGAAGATGGCTCAAAATATGGATTAAAAAGTGAGCTTTTCTCTGGTCTTCCGCAGAAGAAGATCGTGGTTGAATTCAGGTAAGTGCCTATTCATCTTACGTGTTGGTTAATCAGCTGGCTGGTCAGGTGAGTGTTTTGCCATTATCATCTGAGGTCTCATGAAATTACACATGGAAAAACTGAAAACCAGTGAGATTATGTTTTCTTAAATTCACAGTGAATTGATCATTAAACCATGAATAAAAAATTTTGGATTCCAAGCAAAGCTATGTCTAGTGACTATTTTGGGCTCTGTTTTTTTTCAGAATTAAGTACTTAACAGTTACTTTTTTTATTTTTAGAAGAACAAGTTTTTCATTTTACTAGACTTTTTTTTTTTTGCTTTGGTTGACAGTTTATTAAATACACTACATTTGTATCTCATACTGTAGTGTTTTTAAATCATTCACACATGAACTTAGTAAAAACATACTTTATAGAAAACTATTGGCAAAACTAAAAATAAGAACGCATGTTTTATACACATATTAGATAAACTGCTGGAAATGTTAGGAATTACTTGAATATTATTAGACTCAAAGCAGAGGTAATGGTTACTACCATATTAAGAATTTTAAAGTAATTTGATTACCAGAAAACAAAGCCTTGTAGTATTTGTAATAGATAATTTTAAAAATTACCAGAAAATAGTTTGAAGTTTTAGTATGCCTCTGAATAATAGTCTTCATAATAACTTTCTGATATGCTATCACTACAACCATAAAATATATTTCAACTGTTTTTAAGTAGCCAAAAAAGGAAAGGAAACACTTTCAGAGTACAGCTTACAGGTTGATAGCTCATGAAAATTATCAGAGATATTGACTTTGACTTCCTAAAGGCTGAAGAAGAGTCTTAATGAACTGTTTTCCCATTTAGAAAGACAGAACTTGCTAGAGTCTTTTGTTTTCTTAAGTATGTATTTCTGTGGAGGATTTTTAGAAATTGATATGATAAATATGATTTAAGGTTTCCTAACTCATTAAAATTTATGATGATAACAATTCAACTTAGTTATGATTAGTACCTGGATAACAGAGGCGAGAGGGTTTTGTGGATTCCACATTTGTACTCTCTGCCATTCATTTGTGTTCTGAAAAGGCAGATCCTCTAAGACTCAGTAAAGGCATCTGTTTATGATAAGGACTGATTGCTAAGTAAACTAATACTCCTATGGAGTCTCCCACCTCCTGTTGTTCCAAATGTAAATATTCTCACAAAACAGATTTGAGGACCTCTGATTGGTAAAATGGAACTCCAAAAGATCAGGGTACCAGCTCTGACTGTCAGTAAGTGATTCTGTTATCTCGGATGGAACAGCTTTTTCCCTAGTCTCTTTTCTTATATGGAAAATAACAGCAATAATATTTGTCTCTTCTTACAAGATTGAGGAAATTACATGAAGTAATTTTTTTACAAGTCCCAGTAAGGTGTCCAGAGGAGTTGAATTTGTATTTTCCATTTCATTGTGTTCCTTTCCCAGTAGGAATATGGTGCCAGAGAATGGTAAATTGATGATTTTAGGAAACATTCTGTCAAGGCCGAAGACCTAGATAGATTCAGTTCTTCTAATCCTAGAGAAAAATTACAAAAGCTCTGAAAACTTAAACCAGATAATACAAATACCTAGTTTGAAAAAAATCAAAGATTACAAAAGGATGTTCACTGAAAAGGAAGTCTACTCCCTCCCCGCCCCAGTTTCCCTGTTCTCTCTTTATAGGCATTGACCAATACTAGGTTCTTATTTACCCACCAGGAGATATTCTATGCATTTATGAACAGATCACACATTAGGCATTGTTCTACTCCATGTTTTTTTCATTAAACAATGTATTTTATGTTCCTTTAATATCAGAAAATTCAAGGCTCATTTCTAATTTTTATTGTTTCACAGTATTCTGTCAATTTTTAAAATCTACTTTATTGAAGTATGATTACATACAATACAATACAGTTCTCCATATTTCAGCATAGAATTTGATGAGTTTTGGAAAAGGTGAATAAGTCATGTAACCACCACTGCAATTATGGTATAGAACATTTTCTCTCTCTTTTTTTTTTTCTATTTTATTGTTTGCTTTTATCTATTTTATCTATATATTCTCTTTGATTTGGTCTTCCTGTTCTAGTTTCTTAAAGGAGAACTTTAGATTATTGATTTGAAACTTTGCTAATATAAACACTGCACGCTATAGATTTTTCTGCTTTAGCTCAAATTTGCTATTAAGGCAGTCCTAGAGGTCACCTTGTTTGCTCTCATTCTCTCAAGAATCACAGTCCTTCACTGCCCAGTTTCATAAAACCAGTGTTTTATATATTTTTCTGGTTTTCTGGTTAATTTACCTTTATAATATTGTAAAATTCTTAAAATTTTCAAACATATACAAACCAGAAAACAGTGTAAGTAAGTTCATCACCCAGATTTGGTAGTTATCATGACACTGCACATTTGCTTTCTTATCTCTTTCCTTTGTTGTCTCAGTTCCCTCATTTATAAAATGAGAGGTGAGGGTACCTTACCTCACACCTCTTATGAGTATTAAAGGAATTAATGCATGTAAAGTGCCTGAAACTATAACTCAGGTAGTGAGTGCTCTAGAAGCATTTGCTATTGTTAAATTATTGATTTCAACTTCTCAAGCACACACAGGGTGATAAGGGTGTTGATTGAGAATTTGGAGTGGTGATCAAATTTCTGATTATTCTGGGAAATGTTATTCATGAATATTTTTATATTTTTCAATTTTAATTTCTGATACAGCGACTATTGATAGATACTACCTATAAAAACAAAATTCCTTTGGGGTCCTCAGTAATTTTTAAAAGGATGAAGTGTTTGCAAAGTGGTGCACTAAACTAAATTCCTTGTAATCAATATTGCTTGTGTCAAAACAATATCTCTGAATGTCTTAATCTAGTTCTCCATCCCGAAATGTATCTTCTTCCTAAGTGTGCCATTTCTGTGTGTGGTACTGCTTCATGAATCACAGGATCAGTTTCACTAAGGATGATTCTTTGAGTTCTAATTCATTTTTGCTCTAAATTTCTAATTTTTAACTTATTTTTTCCCTAAATTACCAAAAACCTTAGTCCCCCAATTGTGTTAAACTGTGGAGGTATGACCTGGTGCATTTTAGAACTCTTGTTCTTAGCACAAAAATATAACTTTTCCAATTATTTACAGTTCACCTAACGTTGCCAAAAAATTTCACGTTGGACATTTACGTTCTACCATCATAGGTAAGTGTTGTTTTACAGAAAACACTAAACATGCTTTTGGGGTACTGCTTGATAATGCAGTCTAATGGTTTAATGCTTAAATAACAACAGGACAAAAACCAAAAAAGTTTAAATTTATGTGAGCTTTGTTACTAATTAAATATTACACAAAATGGGAAAAATTGGTTTAGAAGTGGAAAAAGAAATTTGTTTCAAAACCAAAAGATTAACTCAGAAACCAGTTTTAACTGTCTGTTTATGTTTTTAACTTTCTAAAAATATGTATGCATATGGAGAAAATCTAAAAGATGCAAAAATGAAAATAGTTATGTGGGGATGATAGTAATCCCCCCCAATTTTTTGTCCATATAGTTTGTTTTTAAAAAGAAACAATGTTATATGTCAATTATATTTCAATTTTTTAAAAAAAGAAAATCTCATGTCATGTGAGTACTAATTAGAATGTTTAAGACCAGAAATTGAAACACTATTCTAATAGATTACTATCATACTTGATAGCTATAATGCTTCAGAGTATATACTTATAATTTCCATGTGTTTAAAACATATAATACAGCCCAATTTAAAAACTGCAATTAGAATTGTATAATATTAGAATTGGAAGGGACTTTGAAGTTTATCTCATCTGTCTTCTGGTATAGAAATCTGTCTATTACATGCTTAAGAGACAGCCATTTAACTGTACTTGAATACTTCTAAGAATTGGAGAAATCAACACTTTGTGGCATAGATTATAATTAAACTGGAGTCAGTTCTCATTGTTACAAAGTTCTCAAGCAACATTTTAAGAGAGGAAATGAGAAGACTTGATGAAAAAAGAATATAAGAAATATACTGGGCCGGCCAAGTGGCGCGTTGGTTAAGAGCTGGCTTGGGACACCAGAGGGCCCCGGTTCGGATCCCAAATATGAGGGCCAGTGACACTGCCCTCTACAGCTAAGATGCTGAACAACAGCTCAGCCTGGGGCTGGACTGCCATGAGTTGCCAGCGACGGCTTAGGCTGCAGTCCCTGCAGCAGTGGGTTGCCATAGGCACCATGTGTAGCCAGCAGCCAGCGTGAGCGGCCAGCAGCCACCCACCATGAGGGGCCGTCCAGAAGCCAGCGACTGATCTGCCTCGCCCGGGAAGAGTGCAGTGATGGTGCCAACTTGGGCCAGTGAAGCAACATCCTCCACAACTAGACTGAAGAACAAAAGGACAGCAATTTGTCTGTTCTCCTTCCCCTAATTCCCCAGCGCTGTTCCCTCCCCCTAATTCCCCAATAAAAAATCTTTAAGAAAAAAAAAAAAGAAATATACTATATCACAAAAGCTACATGAGTAAGTCAAAAGTGTAGAAGTAAGTGATGGGTAGAGCATGATAAAATTGTTTAATAGTTGTTAAGGGAAATATTTGGACCAGAAGAGAGAATATTTATTGAGAATTTACTTACCATGTTAAGCGTTTTCAGGTATTAGCTCAGTTAGTTTCACAACAGCCCTGTTTAATAATAAGCACTACTAACTCTGGCCTATGGATGAGGAAATTCTCATACCAAAAGTAACTTTTCCAAAATCACTTAGCTAGCAAGTATCATAGCTAGGATTGGAAAATAAACAGTCAGTTCCAAAGCTGATTCAGTCCTTTAGTTGGATTTGTAAGATATTAAGGTGCTAAGGAAAAAGAGGAATAGTCTGAGTACCAGCTGAAGAAGGTGGGTGGTTCCTATTGCTGGGACTATATAGAGTGGGAAAGTCTAGAAGTAGGGAAGCTGGAAGAGCATCAGCTGCAGTAATTTAAGTCATATATACATATTATTTGCAGAAAACTAGATCTACTCTAGTAAAAGCAGGAAGAGATTTACTATAGGACATTGAATCATTTACAATGTTGTTGGAAGTGCTAAGCAGCTTTGGATTCAGCTGACAAAAATGAGCCTTAAAACTGTACCATAGAACTTGGTCATCAAGGGAGCTTCCGCCTTTTCTGCAGTCACTTCCACTGCTCTAGAACCACGCTGCCAGTGCCGTGGTCGGGTGACTGCCACGAGTCCTGCCTTCCCTTCTAGAATTCATACTAGCAAGAGAGGCAGCCCCATACCCAATCTTTCAATCACCTTGTAGGTCGGTCACATGCTGGCACACTAGGACCTCTGTTAGTAATGCCACACGCATACACTCGAAGCCTCCATAACTGTGCTTGTCAGAAAAAAATAGAAGTAGTTCCCGTTTCACCTCATTTCCACCCTCGAAATCTCATGCAAAGTGTATCTGATTGCCCAAACCTAAATGACATCTGGAACCCTAACTGCAAGAGATTTTGGGAAATGTAATTTTTAGGTTTCCAGCCTCTGTGGTGTGTTGAGGGCACACTAGAAGGAGAGTGGAATAGATGTTGAATATGAAACCAGTATCAGCAGTTCAGGGAGGTGAAGGCCTTGGACTGCTGCATGCTGTTAGGGAGCAGGCATGAGAAGATGGATTTCCGTGCTTGAAAGAAGGTAAAGTGAGCTATTTAGAAAACAAAACAAAACAGTATAGCTCAGGTTCTTTAGTGCACAGCCAAATTATTTCTTGGTAATTATTGAGATTCTGTTATTTTCTGTCCTTGGGATTAACTTGGAGTAGCAATTACTTTAACATGTTCCCACCAACCATTAATGTTAATGAAAATTTTGTTCTTGTGAAAATTGTGAGATTCTGTGGAATAACTGCCCCCCAAATAATTCCTTACTTCCTTTCTATAGCATAGATGAAAACATAATAATGAACATTTTAGTAAAAAAAAAAACAACACAAAACTGAGTTGATAAATTTTGCCAAAAGAATTTTCTGTTATACTTTGATAATAGAGAAGCACACGGTTCTTATGCCAAAACGGATAACAAAAATGAGAAACTGTATATTTTATTGGTTATTAGGAAATTTCATAGCAAATCTCAAAGAAGCTTTAGGACATCAAGTAACCAGAATAAATTACCTTGGAGATTGGGGCATGCAGTTTGGTAAGTTTGAGATTTTATTTTTCATTTCACTGTTAAATTTGATATGTTTTAATATTATGTCACTTGATCATCTGGACAGAATTATAGGCAAAATCCCATTAGATAAAGTAGTGCCTCTTACCTAATTTTTTTTCCTAATGTCTCTTTTCCATAAACGTATTCTTTTTATTAGAGTAATTCTCACCATACATGTAAATTTGGGGGAGGAAACTACACACATTCAGGGCAACACCTGATAAATACAGGCATTTGTGGTTTTATTAAAGAAAAGTAGCTTAGATTTGTGAGTTAAGTGTAGAAGTGAGTACTGAGGGGGAAAAGTCAGTTTGGCTATATACACCCTTCTCAATCACAGCCCTGCCATTTTTAAAACAAGGGAAGCCCCGCCTCCCTTGGCCATCCTAATGAAAGGTGATCTATAGTTAGTTTTACCCTGGGCCAGTCGTCTAGAGGACAAAGTGGGAAACTTTGACTCCCCTTTAAATTGTACAGTGGTGAGTGGGGTAGGGGTGGTCAGAAAGAAATGAGAGGAATGAGACCCGAGCAGATGAGTGCCACAAATTATCTCCCATGTCATGAGTTTAGTCAGAACCATTCCTAGTTCATACATACCAGTAATCAAGGTGTGGAAAGGCAGGATAAATGAAGTTGCTAAGGCAGTGAAGGACTGGTAGTATGTGAAATGCAAACTTTTAAAAATATGTTGCCTACTGTGTGTGTGTTTTAAGATCCAGCCCTAGTGTTATCTCTGTAAAGCAGTCTGACACACACACACACACCCTTGCCCACCTTCTATATCACCAAGTTCCTAGGCCTCAGCTTTGCTCAAATAGGCTTCTGTCTTACTGTATTCTTCTTTGTTAGATGGTATGTTCCTTGAAGGCATGGACTGTCTCTGTTTTTTTTGTATCCATAGGGCTTGGCACATGAGAGGTACTCAAAATGATGAATGACTGTTCTAGGAAGTATTTTACAATACTAATCCAAAAGAAAGGCTAGGTAATATTTTAAAGCTTCTATAAAGTGTAGTGTGTGCTGCCAGTGCCGAAGTTCACCGACAATATTATGTTCCTTATCTAGTGAAATGAAGTCAGAGCTTTTTGAAGACCTTTATCATGATCTTCTCTTATGAATATTATCCTTTCAGTTAATTAAAATTCTATTTAGACCCTAAACAGGGTAGAATTTGAACCTGTTAACAGTGCCCTCGCTATTCACAGTGGAGGAATCAGAAAACACTCCCAGGGCCGGCCGAGTGGCGCGATGGTTAAGAACTCGCTTGGGATGCCAGAGGGCCCCGGTTCGGATCCCACATATGAGGGCCAGTGACACTGCCCT